AAAGAACGTGTGTTTTTTTTATAAATTTATTTTTAAAACTATCTTTCAAAATATATGCGATAATTCATTTCATTCATAATAATGTTATTAATTATACATGTACAAATTGTAACATAATAGTTAAATATATTTCATATTTTTGAATAAACTTTCAAGAAAAATATTACTAGCATTTATTGTGTTCGCCTTGTTTAATTAATTAAATATAAAAATTTGCCATCTTGAGTCACGCATAACTGGTATATTGAACATTTTTAATAATACTAAATATGACTGATAAATGTTTACTATCATTAATCAACAACTAGTACAGAATATTTTTGTGAACAGTGAAATTTTTAACTTATCAACTTTGAAATTTCGCGCATTTGACAACCATGAAGTTATGGTCCAGTGAGAGTATAAAATACAGATAGTAAACTTTGCGAAATTTTATTTACCGGTAACAAAGGTGCATACGTACATATTATGTAATTTGCATTATTTAATCTTCCCAAAATTCAAGGTTGTTGAAGAAATAGTGCAAGTTCCTTTTTTTAAAATCTTGCAGAGACATTAACATTTCCGATTGCTAATCTGCATTAAGGAACTTTAACCTTACCGCTCCTGCGGTCGCACTTCCACGTGAACTGCTCAGAATCGATAAAGAGTATTCGCAAGTCGGGGTCAATTGTAGGACGACAGAACATCATTCTGTTGCGAACGCTCTGGGTGGATTGTCACGCGTTGCATTAGGTGAGCAATTTTCATTCAATTTTGTTTAACATTTATAAAGATTTGCTCTTAGAAAATCATTTGGTGCTTCAAAAGATATCCAGTTTCTGTTCGCAAGACCTCGGAAGTGACATTTTACAGGATTACTCAAACAGATGATCTTATCACGATTTGCGAATGTTCAATGTCGAAATTTTTCTGCAAAGTCATTGTACGTGGTATTTCGAGCCTATTGCAATTAATTTTTAATTATATCTCATCTCTAAATAATAAAATTGTTTATTTTAGTTTACGTCCTTCGTAGCTTTTCTTCCAGTGACCTTGACCAAGGTCAAATGTCTGCAAAAATCGAGCTCGGCTACCGGTTTTTGTTTCGAATTTCATATTTTCATTAGATAATGGTTCAATATTGCTCTTTTTAAAGTTCAAAAGGGATTAAATTTATCATCGGAACATTTAGTTGCAGCGATAAATATGGAATGGTATTGATTTTGTATAAATAATAATTTTCTTCTGTTCTAGATTTTCAATTTCTAAATACAGTACTAAAAGTTCTTGTTCAGAAATGCCGATCCAAAGCATTAAAGCACGTCAAATCTACGATTCTCGTGGTAACCCCACTGTAGAGGTAAGGTTATGTGAAATGTGTTACAGTATTAGTTACATTTCGGTCATATCATAGTTTTATTTTGATAATAATGTTCTTTATAGGTTGATCTGGTAACAGATCAAGGTTTATTCAGAGCTGCAGTTCCTTCTGGTGCATCTACTGGTGTTCATGAAGCTTTAGAACTCCGAGATAACGATAAGTCAAAGTATCATGGAAAGTCTGTCTTTAAAGCTGTAGACAACATCAATCTTACCATTACACCGGAATTATTGAAGGTATTTTTAAAACTTATTGCTTTGATATCTGAGAAATAATCAGGCAGTTCTAGGTATTAATTAATATTAATGGATTTGTCACTTAGGCCAATTTGGAAGTTACACAACAGACAGACATTGACAATTTCTTGTTGAAACTCGATGGCACACCAAACAAGTCAAAGCTTGGTGCAAATGCACTTCTTGGTGTCTCTTTGGCAGTTTGTAAAGCTGGTGCTGCTAAGAAAGGAATACCATTGTACAAGTAAGTAAATATACTTTTTCTATGTTTTTGTGTTTTAAAGAAATCTTCAAAAGTTTTTAAATGCTCTTCCACGTTTATAGAATATTATCCTGCCATATGTTGTTTTAATCTTTGTAAACAAAATAGAATCTGAACAGAAGTATGGAAAAAATGAATAATTACTAAAAAATTTATAACTAATTACTATATAAACATCTAGATTTGTATAGTACTAGTATTAAGTATAGCAGCTTCAACTTAAAAGCATTTATATTAAGTTTATACTTATAATTATTTTAACAATTGAAAATGGTTAATTTTTTCAAAATTATATTGATGACATAATGTTTTACCGTATTTTCATGTTATTAATTGCATTGCATATATAAGGATTAATAAACACAATGCTGCATATTCAACTCATATTGTCTTATTACTTATATTTATATTATATTACTTATATTTATTTGTTAAATTATTTCAGGTACATTGCTGAATTAGCTGGAAATAGCAACATTATTCTGCCCGTTCCAGCTTTCAATGTTATCAATGGTGGTTCACATGCAGGAAACAAATTAGCTATGCAAGAGTTCATGATTCTACCCACCGGAGCTGCTAACTTCACAGAAGCAATGAAAATGGGTAGTGAAGTTTATCACCACCTTAAAGCAGGTATCAAGAAGAAGTTTGGTCTTGATGCTACCGCCGTTGGCGATGAAGGTGGTTTTGCACCCAACATTTTGGAAAATAAGGAAGCTCTAAATTTAATTATCAATGCCATCAAAGTAAGGATATCCACAAATTATTATTCTCTCCACAATTATTATTTTTAATTCGAATATTTTCATTTATATTTTTTATTTATATCAATTATAAAATTAGACCGCTGGATACGAAGGAAAGATTAAGATCGGTATGGACGTTGCTGCATCCGAGTTCCACAAGAACGGAAAATACGACTTAGATTTCAAGAATGAGAAGTCCGATCCAAGCACGTACTTAGAACCGACAGCCTTGAAGAATTTGTATTTAGATTTCGTTAAGGAATTCCCAATTGTTTCGATTGAGGATCCGTTTGACCAGGATGATTGGGAATCCTGGACTTCCATGACTGCCTCCACTCCCATCCAGATCGTCGGTGATGATCTTACCGTCACGAATCCCGAAAGGTAAATTTTCACTTCAATTTAAACCTTTTGTAATGCTGTATAATTGTCTCATTTTGTTTCTTCGCTAGATCTTTGTTTATTATTTCATTGTTTTACCACCTATTTTGAACTAAAGCATTCGTTTATTACGATTTTTCATTTTTCTTGAAACTTGTGAAATTGATTAGAATGGTTTTAAATATTTTCTAATAAATTATAATATTTTTAATTCATTGCAGAATTAAGACGGCCATCGAAAAGAAAGCGTGCAACTGCTTGCTTTTGAAGGTCAACCAAATCGGTACCGTTACAGAGTCTATTAACGCTCACAAACTTGCCAAGAGCTCCGGATGGGGTACTATGGTATCTCATCGTTCTGGTGAAACGGAGGACACGTTTATCGCCGATTTAGTTGTTGGACTTTCGACAGGCCAAATTAAGACCGGCGCACCTTGTCGTTCAGAACGTTTGGCCAAGTACAACCAGATTCTTCGCATTGAAGAGGAGTTGGGCGCCGCTGCCAAGTTTGCTGGCGAGAAATTCCGTAACCCTCATGCTTAAACCATTAAGACCTTTTTTTTCAATGACATGAGGCTCTAGTTGTATTCATCGCAATACGTGATGGAACTTACCCTTCCATTACTGTTGAAATGTTGGTGAAATAGAGTCAAATGATTTTGCTGTAACTGTAGTGTGACAAATCGTGAAAATTAATAGTGGTAGGCTCGGATGCGATGGCCCACTGTTAAAAATATCAACCACAAATCAACGTGGGTCAGGTCGTCATTAAAACGGATGAACTATACTCATTGGAGTAATAGTTGTTAATTATTGATATGATTAAAAGTGAAGAGCATAATACAGGCAGTTTACCAGTGCATTTAAAACGTACTAGTAACAGACATGTATTAATATTGCGGAAATACTTATATTACGTATTTATTTTGAATAAATTGTTTGGACTTTGGTTAACATATCGTTGAAGTAGTTCACGTAATTTAAACGTATCGAAGAATAAATAGGCCTGGTGTCTGCCAATTTAGAAGCACAAACTGAAAGTTGTGAATAAACTATTACGGTTATTGTTAACTGTTGCATGTGTGAGCATTATACATTACGACGCATGTGCTAAAAGTATTAAATAATAATTATTATCACGAACTAAATTAACTGTTATTTTCATAAAATGAATAGCGTTAATCCTATTGTCACGACTATACCTGTAAAAGCAAATATTTAAATAAAATAGAAAAAAATATGTCTTAACAGAAATTTGATACGGATAATTTATTTATGTTTAAATTTACCTTAGTTAATTATACTGTCCCGACGAATTTGAACTTTGTTTCACGTTTTGCTGATCTAAATATAGCATATACATTTTTAGATGTTTATAATGTTATAAAACACATACCGTTATATTTGAAAGACTGCAAAATCATTCTATGCAAAAAATACGTACAGCTATTATTATTAAAGCAGTAAAATTCTCCAAATTGAAGAAACTGAAAATTATGGAGAAAACTACTCGGAAAATCTTATTATCGTCTATTGATTATCGAAAGGTAAAATTGGTATCGGACAGTAGTGTTTTAATTATCCAATGTTTAAATTAAATTTAAATAATTACTTGCAGTGCAATCGCCTTAAATCATAAAATACTTAGGCATGAAGTATTAAAAAGTTATATAAAGTTAATCAACATAATCGAAAATACAACAGCTGAGTGTGCCAATACTGCTTTGAGCCTCCGCATATCAACGTTTCCTTATACATATATTTAATATTTACAAAAATAAATCACGTTCAAAGTACTTTAAACATATAATATATTCATTTGTATGCTTGTACATATCTCGTATTTTTTTACAACAAAATATCTATGACAACAGTACAGTAGAGAACGGTATACAATATATAGTTATATCAATAATTCATTCATAAGTATGAGATGCAAGACAGCCTCGTTCTCTTAAGACGTAACAGTATCGGGTTGTGATTGCATTAAAATACATATAAGTATGTACTCTTCTTGATTACTCTGATGTCCAGTCTTTGGGTAGAACTTTTGCATCGATTTTTATATTCCGCGTCTAGTGGGCTTGATTTCGATTCGTATCGCCATCATCATTTTCTCTATATATTTCTCTTTCGATTTCGACAAAAGAAACGTACGTATTTTTACTTGCATTCGATGTTACACGTAACACCTCAATAAAGTACGAGTTCCTTCTAATACTGTTAGACCATTGTATAGTATCAAACAATGTAGTACGAATCAATCGATCGTTAAAAGGGGGACAACAATGAATTTAACATTAAACGACTCTCGCGATAAGTTCTACTTACAGTGGATCAGAATAGTATTGACACACTCAGTTTTTTGTTTCGTAATGGAAGTTAGAAAATTAGCATAATAATACAATCTAGACTTCTAAATTATGTGTTTTATTATGCATGAAATTAATGTGTTGATTTAGAAAGCTTGATTATTTTACTATTAACAACTATTACAGAAGAAACGAAAATCTTATAATTAAAAGGGTATAGTAAATCCTACATACAGGCGTTTCTAAGAAAAGGAATAAAAAATCCGTTTCTAAATGTTAGTCTTTCAAACATTATCTTGCTAGTTCGTATGACGAGACAATCAAAAGATCTCATTAGCTATAAGAATATAGAGGAACACTTGACATTAATAATACTAAATTCGTAGAAATGAATAAACTCGTAAGAAATGTATTGAAAAGGTGAGACTAGTATTGTTTTTATGGTTCCGACATTTCACGTTCTTCCTAAATTATGGCACGATATTATTTGATTAAAGTCTAGCACATACGAACAAATTGTTTATTGTGTCCCCGAAAACGAGACACTCTTAAAAGTACAGTTACTGTAGAAACTATAACAGTGTACCAATATGTTTCTTTTATTGCAAGATTTTCGTCTTTGGTACAGTCTTTTTTAATGATAAAACAATTAATGTTCCTAAACCAGCACATTGTTTTCGTTTACGATAAAGCGCTGAAATATCTAGATTGTACTAATCTGCTGTTTTGTTGACTTCCATTATCACGAGAAAACTGAATGTGTCAACGGATTTTCGATCTCCTGTAAACAGTATGTTTTGTAAAAAGGAACCATGAACAATCTGTGCGACACCTTTGTCCTCGAACGAAAGCAATGAGAGAGAGAGTTGCAGATATTTCTTAAACAATGTATGTACTTTCGGATATCAATGTGAATGTTGTAAAGTAGGCCAATCGGTTTTCTGCTCCCTTCGTGTCCCGAGCACCGGAGGCCGTTTCCGGGTTTCCGTTCGACACGAAGGAGCGATTTCGTTCGTTAAATCTTTAACAAGAGAATATCCGTTAGTGAAAAAATATGCTATTTACACGTAAGGTATCTAGTTGTGCGTCGATTTATTAATTCGCTGTTGGGGTGTATCAAAATCTACTCAAAGGGGCGATAAAAGATTCATGCAGCCGTTATTTACAGATGTTTTCCCTTTTCTAGACGTAAACATGCGTGTACAATCCCGGCCGGAAGTATCGGATCGTCCCATAAGTTTGTGTCGTTTATTGTTCTTCCATTTTATTAAATCTGTTCACTGTATTTTTAACGTTTCAATTTTGAACGCTCACATTTTTGCGAGCAAAATGTAAGAGATTGCAAAGAAAATAAAGGTATTATTTTGCTCGTAATCGATGCAAATAATGTACATTAAATGATCGAATTAAGAAGAAGTTGCGTTACTGAAAAGCAAACAACAATAGCGAGTTAACTCGTCTTTCTTAAAAGTTTAGAAAAGATGTAATCGTCCCCTCGTTTCGTAACTTCTTTCATTCTTTTTAATAATGATATTATTCAATGACTGTAGAATTGTCGTGGTTTTTCATTACAATATTTTTCGTTGTTTTTTCTACTACATTATAGTGCTCGAAATAGATGATAATCTAACGGGGCATTGTTTAGGGAATGTGCTGGATGGAGTAAAATTTTCCAATACACGTAATTCTTCCTGCACGTTTTGCTGAAGCACGATCGAGACAGCTGCATTTCGCAAGTTTATGCAACATTCGTACTTCCAGCTTCGATACAACCTGTTCCTATTTTCTTCAAGCTGATTTTGCAATATTCCATATTTCAGGCATCTCTCGAAAAGATAATCATCGTGTCTCTAGATTTTGAAACCTGTTCTCGTGTATCTCAAATGGACGACTAAAACGTATCCGATATAACCAACGACGCAGATATTTTTCACACAGTTTTGTCAAATATCCTTTCCAATATTCGCACTTTTGATTTTACCCTGTGTCAAAGATAAAATGCGTACTGTTCTCTGATATTCTCGTTTCGCACGTCTTTCGTGAATTCAGCTCAATTATCTGGATTCACCTCATCGCTCTGCGTTCATTGAACAGAGCGTGGATAGTCTAAACGCATAACTTATCGGACGATCTAATAGTTGATCCGCCAGGAATCAACGTAATTGTACTCTGATCGAAAACATGTGGAAATCCGCTGAAATTTTTCGAAAGTAATATGATCCTCTCGCAGAAGACTCGAGTTACAAGCATCGTCGGCAGTTTGTTAATTGATTACCAGACTGCGGATATTTGTGCAAACATAAACTCTCTGTGGACAAAAGATCTGCTCCGTCTGTTAGGCTGTTCCAGAGAAGGTGAAGATCTTATTTAACATGTTCGCTACCAATATCATATACGAGAACCAATGTTACTTAAAATGATATAATAGTCGTAAAATTTATAACAATTTTGCGACAACATTTTTTGATGCTTTGTATCGGTATATGTTATCAAAAGCGAATGTGTTAATTATTTGGAAAAATTTGCGATATCGATTCTGAACAAACTCAAGATCTATGTGTTCTAAGCGCGGGAAATCAATTAGAACGTTGCGAATTCTCGTTCGAACGAGTTTTAGTTAATTTTTCAATGCTTTGTATCGGTATATGTTATCAAAAGCGAATGTGTTAGTTATTTAGAAAAATTTGCGATATCGATTCTGAACAAACTCAAGATCTATGTGTTCTAAGCGCGGGAAATCAATTAGAACGTTGCGAATTCTCGTTCGAACGAGTTTTAGTTAATTTTTCAATGCTTTGTATCGGTATGTTATCAAAAGCGAATGTGTTAATTATTTGGAAAAATTTGCGATATCGATTCTGAACAAACTCAAGATCTATGTGTTCTAAGCGCGGGAAATCAATTAGAACGTTGCGAATTCTCGTTCGAACGAGTTTTAGTTAATTTTTCAATGCTTTGTATCGGTATGTTATCAAAAGCGAATGTGTTAATTATTTGGAAAAATTTGCGATATCGATTCTGAACAAACTCAAGATCTATGTGTTCTAAGCGCGGGAAATCAATTAGAACGTTGCGAATTCTCGTTCGAACGAGTTTTAGTTAATTTTTCAATGCTTTGTATCGGTATATGTTATCAAAAGCGAATGTGTTAGTTATTTAGAAAAATTTGCGATATCGATTCTGAACAAACTCAAGATCTATGTGTTCTAAGCGCGGGAAATCAATTAGAACGTTGCGAATTCTCGTTCGAACGAGTTTTAGTTAATTTTTCAAT